TTAAATCAAAAAGTTCATGCACCTATTGTTATGAGCAGAACAGATGCGCAGAAGCTACGACCTCCTTTAAGTAATTATAATTATTAACCTCTTTAGAAATTTTTTCCTAGAAAACTTGCACCAAAATTATAAGGTTAGCATTGGACTAAATACTGCGATAAGGGTACTAATTACACCAACTCAACATCTACGGTTTGGGTGGACGGCATTTTGGGTGTGGGTTTTGTTCAGGATTATTTTAGGACGCTGTGTTGGTGATCAAATAATCTGAATTTGTCTCAGGTACAGGTAGTTCTTCTTAAAGCCGAACGCGAGTTACGTTTGGTTTCCACTCGTAAGTGCGGGGATGTGTATGTGGGCGTCTGCAGTCTTTTCCATCAACGCGTTTCACTTTTGCTGGTGATAGAGTTTCACACTCTATCCGGTATGGACCATCCCTACCAATCTGCGTCGGACATGAATATAGTTAGTTTGGTAGGCATTCGGTTAGATGCATTGTGAATCACTGTGAGATTACTAATGAGCAAGTTTATTCCTGCCGATAGGCGGTGCAAGTCTTTCCATCTAACCTGTTTACTGCAGAACCAAACGGGACACCGCGTGATCCTGCACGCGTAAGCCCCAAGTAATTAGAAAGCAGGCAACGGTCGCTGCCAGAAACAGTACGGCTATCTGTAAAACAAGGAACAGGGAATCGGGGAAAAGAATGGGGAAAGGAACGAGGAACGGTAAAAGCAGGAATGGGAAAAGCCGGAATCAGTAAAACCAGCAATGAAAAAAGCCGGAATCTGTAAAACCAGGAATGGGAAAAGCTGGAATCTGTAAAACCAGGAATGAGAAAGCCGGAATTTGTAAAACCAGGAATGAGAAAAGCCGGAATCTGTAAAACCAGGAATATAATAAATAATAGTAAAAGGAACAACATAATTTTATCTTTGTTCGGTATAAACGTGTAGTATTTCATATATTATATTATTTCATATATATATATATATATATATATATATATATATATATATATATATATATATATATATATATATATATATACACCCATTTGCAAAAACGTTGGCCGCAGATAGATAGATAGATAGATACTCGAAGTCTAATTAGAATTGCATATGATTACATTTGCATGGGATTTCAATCATATTACACAACATATGCAATTCTAATTAGATTTTGAGTATCTATATATATATCTATCTGCGGCCAACGTTTTTGCTAATGGGTGTATATATATATATATATATATATATATATATATATATATATATATATATATATATATATATATATATATATATATATATTAAATATACCTGTGCAAGAATATAAGTCATTCATTACATATTAATATTATTCTCATTAACATTGCTAAACTTGTTATGTTTATGTTCTTTTGAGTTTTGATCATATTCACAACAGTAGAGCGTGTTTGTCCTACGGGGCGACTGGTGTTGATTAACAAACGGGAACAGACTGTAGCATTGTTGTTATCATACACTGATTTATCATAGACTATCTATTATTATTATCATATCAAAAATTATTATTTTTGTTATTATATACATATTCAGTTTTATAATTTTATTCGCAACAGACGTTTGACAGACGTGCGCTTTAATTCTCTGTGTTGTATACGTTGTAAAGTATCGTATTTTATTCTGTCTGAAGATTTCTTTAAAATGAAGTCGAAATATTGACTCTCAAGATTGCTTTATTTACGTATTGAATTATTCGTTTTATCTTTATATATAAGATATTGCGCGTAAAATATAAAGTATAAACGAATAATTTTAATAATGATAAGAGACTATGGTAAATATAGAAGGGGCTAGTAGCTCAGTCCATTCCTGGTTTTACAGATTCCGGCTTTTCCTATTCCTGGTTTTACAGATTCCGGCTTTTCCCATTCCTTGTTTTAGAGATTCCGGCTTTTCTCATTCCTGGTTTTACAGATTCCGGCTTTTCTCATTCCTGGTTTTACAGATTCCGGCTTTTCTCATTCCTGGTCTCACAGATTCCGGCTTTTCTTATTCCTGGTTTTACAGATTCTGGCTTTTCTCATTCCTGGTTTTACAGATTCCGGCTTTTTTCATTCCTGGTTTTACAGATTCCGGCTTTTCCCATTCCTGGTTTTACAAATTCCGGCTTTTCTCATTCCTGGTTTTACAGATTCCGGCTTTTCTCATTCCTGGTTTTAAAGATTCCGGCTTTTCTCATTCCTGGTTTTACAGATTCCGGCTTTTCTCATTCCTGGTTTTAAAGATTCCGGCTTTTCCCATTCCTGGTTTTACAAATTCCGGCTTTTCTCATTCCTGGTTTTACAGATTCCGGCTTTTCCCATTCTTGGTTTTACAGATTCCGGCTTTTCTCATTCCTGGTTTTACAGATTCCGGCTTTTCTTATTCCTGGTTTTACAGATTCCGGCTTTTCTCATTCCTGGTTTTACAGATTCCGGCTTTTCCCATTCCTGGTTTTACCGTTCCCCGTTCCTTTCCCCGATTCCCCGTTCCTTGTTTTACAGATAGCCGAAACAGTACAGCCTAACCAATACGGGCTCACCGGCATGACATGTTAACATTGTGGCATTATCAAAACAGATCCGACGCATTGTATAATTTATTATCTTAAAACTAGAAATACATGCATGCAGCAACCCCTCACAATTTCAAACGAAGCAAAATATTTCCTGGGCTAGCCAGACCTAACGTTCAATATTATGAAATATCCTAAATGTAAAGCCGATAGCTGATGTTTCAAATATTTCGGGGAAAAACACAGTCGTAAAGGTGAAGTGAAATCACTCGTTTTCCTGCTGCTTTCCGTTGCATTAAGTTATAGAATTTCACAGTTTAAGTGAGAGTTTATACTTCATTATAGCTAAACCTTCAAAACATCAAAACAGCCCAAATAATATAAATAACTAAGCAGTGAACGTCGAATGTTGTTTTTCGATTGTTAAATTCATGCAGGTATTGCAGTCAACTATATATAAACCTTTAAAGTGATATTTGTTATATTAAAACACCGAATTACACTTTAAGGACTCTTTTGGAAGTTAAAACGATGATGTAAAGCCTTAAGTGGTCGGTCACGTCTTCGCAAAACCGACCAAAACGACATACTGTGCAAAGGTCTTAAAATATATTCGTACAGCAAACACGAAATAAACCTCGAAATAAACAAAATAGACTCCTACCATTTCAAGGATTATAATCGAGTTGTCCCTTTTCACCGCTAATTCCTGCAGTTCTGATAATATTTTAAACTCTTTCCAGTGTTTTATCTGTTATTTGATTCCATATATATATATATATATATATAATATATATATATTATATATATATATATATATATATATATATATATATATATATATATATACAGTTAAATTGCTGACGTATTCACTGAAACACAAACGTTTCGTCTTAGCCAATCAGGAAGTTGCTGATTACCAGTCTACACTCGTTCGCATTTCGCGCATGCGCAAAAGTACCATGACCATTGAACGTCCATGACATTTGGGCAACTTTGGATTCCGCTATGTACTCCCGGGTCCCGGGTGTAATTCCTAATCTCCGGGCGGAATTATAGTACCCTCGCACGGTGCTCCGCACCGGCTCGGGGGATCAAAGAGGTAATTTATGTTAAACCTTTTCATCCATCTTAGCGATTTTGCACCAATTTGCTGATTTGTATAAAACCACGGAGAAAATAAAAAAAATGAAAAAAATAATAATAATGAATAAATTAACAAATAAATACATAAATTCATGTAGATATTGTTACATTGAGGACTGCCTAACAGCCCATCTTGAGAACATCGGGTACAACAGTACCCACCTTTGAACTATTCTACCTTGCTTCATATAGCTAATGAAAACATTATGTTCAGTGTATTTTTTTGTAAATAAACACTGGTTCTGGGTAATAGAGTGCCCTCAAAGGTCACCCTCTACTCCATAGACTCGCATAAATCTACATGAATTCTTGTCTATACCTAAGTAAACAATTAACAATTATTGGATGAGGTTGAGTGTGATATCGAGAATTATCAAGCCGAAGTTTGCATTATTCGCCGAAGCGAAGCTGAGGCGGATAATGCAAACTGAGGCTTGATAATTCTCGATATCATGCGAAAACCGAATTCAATAATTGTTTTATTATGTATTTCCTTTTTAGAGAGGAAGCCTGCGCCATTATTGACAACAAACTAGCGGCAAAAAATTACGTCACCTACGGATAATTTTCAATGTCGTGTAGGTGGCAAGACATTGAGAATTATCTGTAGGTTTTTAGCCAATCACAATCGAGATTGCATTAGTAATGCATAATAATGACGATTATTGGGATCCACGATCCCTGCGGCCATTTAGGATACCTATCTGGGGAGCTATGACCCCTCTTGGGCGAAGTCCAATACTGGGAAGCACCTGCTAAACCCGTGAGGACATCCAACATGGGGATCTACGACCCCTGAGGATACCAGAGTCCTTGGCCAGGACTACATAATTAATTGTACCATAAACTACATGCATAAAGCTCTAACGAGTCTAAGGGGTAAAGCAGGTCAATATGGCCGCCAAGCGTGCGTGACTATAGCACTTATTTAGAAACTCAATATTGCGTCGCGCCTAAGAAATGAGGGGAGAATCAAATTTGCTTTTTATATTACCCACGACTAAGAAGTCATGTTTGTCCACGATCCAAAACTGCATCAATTTTATCCATCTTTGAACACTGAAAATTGAGGGCAACTCATGAGATGCCCAAGTATGTTTCCGAGAAAGAATATTAACTTTCCAGCATTGAAATTGTGTGAAAAAAGTATATACTCCGGGCATATTACGTACCTTACTGCTCCAATTTTGCTTGTTGTGTGCATGCATTGGCAAATATTCACGCCCAAGATGGTTCCTAAAGATTGCTTTATGCACATCGCATTATAGAAGCATAAAAATACGCGTAAATGTGTTCCCCAACGCGATGAAGTTCATCAATTTCGAAAAGTGATTTTTGAATGCCATTATTTTCTTTTAGCTGTTGCTATAATACAAGCGACACTGATCTCAAAAATGCACTGAAAAACTGAACTGCATGGGCCCGCATACCTCACCGCTTGTCTGCCTGCATTTCTGTCCAAGTAGTATAACGTACTTCAATCATTGAGCAGTCAAGGTAATTAAGAAACACAAACAGTATGTCGTGAGAACATGTATTACTTCAATGCTTACATTCAGCAATTAACTGTGCTTATACTTTTCATCTAGTTTACAATGCCTGCCCTTTTTGTCATGCAACTTATGTTTTAACTAATCATTCTACACTGCCATAGTCTGTTTTTCTTCACGACTCTATGCACGCTTTGACTGAAAAAAAAGGTAATAGTTGATACTAAAATAAGAATTATAGAATACGTGCAATATGCAACTATTGTTATTTCATTAGATGTTTTTGATCACGTGGCAATTTACTAAGTATAGACATTTCTATTCTACTGATCGTTTTTATATGGAAGCTTGCATTGCACAGTCCAGGCCTGTAAAGTTTTTTAACATTGCACGATTGGCGACAATCACAAAGCCAAAAACTTGTTATTTCAGTGTACCATAGGCCCCAGTTACAATTTCGCACATAAAGTTATATTATCATTTAAATTCAAATTTTCCAAATTGTGCTGATTTAACACAGAGCAAAATGGATTAACTACCTATCGAAAAAAATGTGAAATACGTAGCCGTTAAACCATAGAATGATATAATTAAGTCAGTTTTACGCCATGCTATGGTTTTGGCTGCTTCATGAACACTGGTACAATTAAATAAACTGACAGTGATTTCATCAAAAATACCATTTACTGAACAAGAACCGCAATTCCACATCAATTGTAATAGAATACGCCCAGCCCACTGAGTGTGATATATCTTATTTGAGATCTAGTCTTGCTTGAGAGACACATAGTCGTAGGTTTTGGAGAGTTACCCTACTTTGAGATGATCAAATCCTATTTTACCCAATTTTGCAAATACACAAGCATATATTTTTTACACTCTCTAAGCTACAGCATGTTGAATAGACAGCAAATGAATTATTCTTCCAGTTGAGAATATGATTTTCAACGTTAGCCTCTGTCCAGTTCATATTTACTCAACTTTTCTTACCACAAAAAATGACTGGCGACTCATATATACACTTCCTTCATAGCACTTAAAATCTATTCGGAGTTAGTTACAACAACTGAATCGAAATTTTCCTTCACCGCACCACATATACTATGAAATATATATATATATATATATATATATATATATATATATATATATATATATATATATATATATATATATATATACTACAAAATATTGATTTTGAAAAAAATATCCAGTGTAGATCACCGTACCTATTTATGGTTCCCTAGACAAAGCAGCAGCAGTTTGAAGCCGGTTCCATGCACTGTTGCTGTCCGCAAAATGTTAAATGGGCTGGACATGGTCCGGCATGGCAAAAACCATCTGAGACTGGTCCAAAGCACAAAAAACCACTTCGTTCTATAAAAATTTGGGAGTTTTAGTGAGTTATTCAATTAGCTTTTCAGATATAGGTACAAAAATATGCTTTTATTTCATGGCGTTACATTCTATATAATAGTCAAGACATATTGCGCAGAAAGGGTTCATAAAATTATGATAACTTCGATGTATTGCACTTTGTTTTGTATCAGAGGCAACATTTTATTAATATTCATGATGACACCCCATTATGTCAGTAAATGCTTGTCACGAGTTATTCAATTCCATAAAATCCGTACTAGGTCAACTGCCTGTCCTCAATTTCAATAAAAAAACTTTCACCATTTAAACGAAAAAAATGACATTCAAAATACTCATGAACTGCATACTACATGTCTTGCTTGTATATCCTGCCACAGGGCTCTGGTTTGGCGCGCTTTTTTCTTCGAGGAACGCTTCATGAAATCAGTGAAGTATTTTTCCACTACTTCATGCATGGAATTAAAATAAGGATTCTAATACTTTGACATTCCTGCCCAAATTATAATTAGCCCAACATATAAATTGTCTATTATAAAGACACAGCAAGTCAGCAACAATGCAAAGAGGCGATGCTCACCTGTTTCAGCATCAACTTGTTTTTCTTGGTCTTTGTACAGACGTCCAAAGCCAAAGCGGCCTTGTTTAATTCCATGAACATTTATCATTACAAAGAAAAGGAACAAAAGCGATGCTGCAAATTTGAATCCCATTTTCACCAGTCGCTATAGAGCTACAGAAGCATGTATATAATTGAAAATCTATCCAGTGTGACCATATATATCCAATCGTTCAACCAAAGCAGCCCGAATCTAGTTAGTCTGCCCCCTCCTGGTTTAAATTTGGTAATTATAAAAATCAGGTGAGCTGTTTATGTGCATCTGACCAATTCTGCATGGTAATAAAAATTAGCAGATCTGTTAATATTGCATCTTACATTTGAAAATTCCGTCAATGGGAACATATTTTCTTTTCGTCTCATTTCATATTGCAAAGTCTTTCAATATAGTTTGCTAGATATTCTGAAAAATTTGCGCAGGTCGGCTATATATACCAAGGAGAACGCCTTAACATTGCCATGCAGAAATCGCGGAATATGCTTATCGGCGTAAAAATTTTCATACTTGTTAAACTATCTTTCATTACTGCTCTATATAAAGTGTATTGCGCATTCCTAAATTCCGCAAAATATTAGCCGGGAAAATAATCGAATATTTACAATTTGCCCTGGTTGTTCTTTTGTAAATCAGGACATATCGAAGTTCCTGCGGTGTCGAGGTTCTATGTTTTGCTGGTATAGATGTGAACTCTGCATCTCTACAAAGTAATTCAACGTGATAAATGGCTAAAGCATTGGCTCGGAAATGTATAGGAAGCTCACAAATCGAAAATTTTGTTCTGGTAAAATCAAGGTAAACTAGAACCGACCTACAAATACCTATGGTTATGTTTTAGCGTTTCCGTACTTTGTACTCTACAGTTTTACAGTATTCTTTACTTCAAATTTCGGTGAAAGTATACTGTATAGAATGTTATTTTATCAATACCCTATTCGAAAGATTACGTTGCACTCAATTTATTTCTGCTTACAAATTTCTGTCCGTGATATTTTATTAATGACAGAAACTTTATCGCATTATCCAATAACACAGTCATGCATATCCTGTTAATTACAAGAATATTTTAACCGCGTGCATGAGAAGGGAGCTCCCTGTTTAGCGATTTATGGCTGTGCTGCTTGGGATGTCCGTAGAAAAACAGTGAACAGTGATTTCAATCATAACTTCTATCGAATATAAGGGTAAAATCTTTGATAAGTGATTGTAAAAGCTTTTTCTAAGCCATGCAAGGTCAAATCATAAACCAAGCAAGGGTTTCTATCATAATTCTGAACAGTCTTAGTCGCAAGAAAAGGTTGAACAATGAAGAGTGAAACAGTATGCATGCATGAACTAATAATTCATTAACTTACTTTGCCTTAATTTCTTCAACGAACTTGCTGTCTTCTCCTTTCGAGGTTGTCGGGCGATTTAATCAACGAGACGCTTTTGAACGCTTTTTATAATGACCGCTAGGACTGTATAGCGCGCTTAAATTGACATCTTTAGAAAGGCTTATTTAAATTTCAACGTTTGCAAAGTACGCTTTCGAACTTCGAAGAACAAAGAAGAAAAAATAGCAATAAGTGGTAGGTAAAGCTATAAGTAAATATTTGTTGTGGTTATTTTGATTATTTAATCCTAAGTTTTAATTTTCAATTTGAAATGTGTGCATACCGTTTGGTTAACTCCCATTGAAGTTCGTCTAGGGGAATCATATGGATAAAATTAAGTCTATTTATAGAGTTTACATAAGGTAGCTACAGCTTGAAGATTTTAATATGCTATTTTGAATCTACTAATCTAATCTATTGACTAACATGCAATTAGATTTTCCATCTAAAAACAGTATTATAGTGCCTTATTTTTGTATATAATGGCCATAGTGTCTTTATATATACTGGCCATTTTGTTGTGTTTGATTGATTAACAATATGCATCAATTCATAATGTTGAACATTGTCTAGCCGTAATAGAACACTTAAAGGTGTTTCACATTATCCCGCTAGTTATAGAAACACGCGTGAAAGTTTGAAAAAACGAGAAATAATCAATGGGAAATCGAGCCCGTATGGGGAGTTTTCCATGTTATTTCGAGTTCTCCCAAACTCCCACAAGTGTCTCTGTAACTGTATATAGAAACAAAAGAAAATGTTTTCTATTTCTTTTATAATATTATAACTCAGTAAAAAGATTTTGCACAAATATTATAATTCCATTCAATTACAAATTCTCATTACATTACCTCGCTTCTCAAGTTCGGCGGGAAAAGTCCCTTGTTCAGTCTATATAGTTCTAGAAACACGCTTCTCAACCAATCAGCATGCGCGTACCATAAATGTTATATTATAAACACACCTGGCAGTCGTGTAGTAAGCCCGAAAATACTATGAGGTTGATCTCATTCGTTGAGGCTTTTGGAGCAAGGGTTATGGTGATCATATTTTACGTTGATTATTATTGTTTTCGTGCAGATTTTTCAGTTATAACTAAACCCACTTAATGCATAATATCAACATTTTAATTTTAGCGCGTTTCAAATGCATGCTCATGAAGCTTTAAAGCGTTGTATTACCCCAATCAAAGCGGTACATAGCATAATTATACACAAGTTATATTGAGGTTCTTTGGATCGTTCATAGTCATGTAATCCATGATATGTACTAGAATTCATATTTAATAGGCATACTATGGTTTTTAGTAATATGGCTTTTAGTATTTTTGACACGCTAATTCCAAAAAACTATGGGGAAAATAACGTTAGAGACGTACTATAAAAATAGCATTGAAGGCATACTATAATTATTATGATTAGTCCTTAGGATTAGTGGTACGAATGATGTTTATTACGACTTTTCTCAACAAAAATGTTTAAGACTTGGCAAAAACTTTATACCGCACTGATATAATTAATATCTATATATGACAACACTATATAACTTAGCATCATGCAAATGTGGTATCACAACTGCCTAAATAGACAAAACACTTCTCGACGTTTCGACCTGAGGACCTTCGTCAGGAGAGTTAGTATTAAACTAACAGTACTAGTTCTTATACCATATTTCATGCTAGTTATTTGAAGACGCTGCCAGGCTGCCCCCTGGTTATATTACAACACTATAATTTATACATACATGCGGACTATATACACACATGGGAGGTTATACAAACCATGCAATATCTGCATATCTTCCCAAGCATGGATGAGTGACCAAAAATTATAATACTGTTTGGCTTTAAAAACTCAATTAGTACACGCTTGTTGGTTAGACTAATATCTACGACAACAGTACAGGCATGGAAGATTACAAGATATTACACTATCTGCATACCCGTGTTGTTATTCACGTGTACCATACATGCACGTTCATGTCGTTAACTCCATTCCTTAACCTGTATATAAAACTATGTTTCACTTTGTCTGAAAATGTCTTTGCATGACTACTTGAACCAATGGCACGTATATATCTTGCATAGTTCCAAAGTTAATGGTGTACCCACAAACCATTCACTATTCATAAGACTCAGCCTACTTTTTTATTGATCTGCACGTGTTCTTGATTAAACTATTGCACAGGATGTTATAACAGCTCTTCTACCAGCCGTCTGCCGTTGTCATCTTATTTTCAAAACATTTTGTGTTGTCTAAAGACCACAATTTCTACTCCACCCCTGCATTTAGATATTTCGATCTGGAAAGGTAAACAGGGCATGGTTTTGCCTTCAGGAAGATTCAGGGTTCTCCCGCGTTGCTTAGAAATGTCTCAGAACACCTTAATCAACAAACGAATGATGTTTGATTATGACATCTTGCATCAAAAAAAGTTTAAGACTTTGCAAAAACTTTATACCACACTGATATAATTAATATCTATGACAACACTATATATACTTAGCATTAAAAGTGGTATAACAACTGCCTAAAATACACAAAACACTTCTCGACGTTTCGACCTGAGGGCCTTCGTCAGGAGAGTTAGTATTGAACTAATAGTTAAACAACATTTGATGCTAGTTATTTAAAGACGCTGCTCCCTGGTTATATTACAACACTATAATTATACATATATGGGGACTATAAACATACATGGGGGGTTATACAAACCATATAATATCTGCATATCTACCCAAGCATGCATGAGTGACCAAAAATTCTAATACTGTTTGACTTTAAAAACTCAATTAGTACCCACTTGTTGACGAGACTAATATCTACGACAACAGTACAAACATGAAAGATTACAATATATTACAATATCAGCATACCCGTGTTGTTATTCACGTGTACCATACATGCACGTTATTATCGTTAACTCCATGTTTTAACCTGTATAATTTATAAAACTATGTTTGACTTTGTCTGAAAATGACTTTGCATATTGCTTTTTCCATATATTGAATTTCAAAATTTATTCTTTGGAATGCTTCGGAATTTCTGACTGCATACGCACCCACGGATAAATCATTATACCATTTATTATTCAAGTAAATAAAATTTTCCAAGCTTCAAAATTATTTCATACTTGACTACTTAAACCAATGGTACGTATACCCACAAACCGTTCAGTATTCATAAGATCAGCCTAATTTTTTATTGATCTGCACGTGTTCTTGATTAAAATATTGCACAATTTACGTTGCCAAAGAGACGCCTGATTGTGGGGTAGGAATATCCCGCAATGAGGGAAGCCATCACAGCAACGAAAATATATTACAAATGAGTATGTTTTACATTTGCCAATGCCACAAGGGAATGTGCCATTGGTCTCTGAACAGTTTTGCTGCAGAGAGCTGTGAACCAAAGTGTCCCGGATATTTTTGTTGTGCCGAAAAGAGACTAGAAGTTTATCGGTGAAAATGGCATGACATCCGCGTAACAGCAAAATTGAAGGGATGATGTGTTAGAACTAAGGGGGTAGAATTAATGCTTGGGGTGATAGAGACAGTGTCTCTAAGGCTGTCTATAAGCAGGAAATTTCGGAATCCTTAGTAAGGCAGTGTCAATGAGTGAGGAGGGATAGCCGCGCCCGACAAAGAATGTTCTCATCTCCAGACATTTGGCCGGACCGGAAGTTATCATCTTCACTGCAAAGGCGGTGGAGACGAAGGAATAGACCTTTCTAATGTTCGAATGGCTCGATAGTTTTGTGGAGTCAAATTTCGTGTAACATCAAACTTTCCGGGTTTGACGTCATTATAAGAAATGTCTTTTGCGAGGAAGGGATAGACCCATAGAGATTATAAATAATAGACCGTATTCTGTGGCCGATTATCGTTCAGTTTCGTCGCCCCCCTTCGGGCACTACTTGAAAACACGATAGAAAATTAGCATAAATTATAGAAAGTCTAAATTTACCTGTTTTCACCTTCATAAACCTGCAGTTTTCGAGCATTTCATCTTCGAAAAATCAGTGAATTTGCATGTTTTGCAATACACCGACGCCATTTTGATTCAGGAAATGTCGCCGATACTTGGTGTAATATACGAGATATATAGCAGATTCAGCAGTTTATACCGGTATTTACATGAAGTTTCCAGCATTTTTGCTGTGCAAGCCAGTGCTTCCATATTGAAGGAAATTTCCTTCCAGAAGGAAATTTTTGCAAAATGCAGGAAATTTGAAGGAAATTTAATTCCGGAAGAAATTTGAAGGAAATTTTGCAAAATGAAGGAAGCTCGAAGGATTTTTTCAATTTTTGAAAATGTTTCTAATTTTTAAAGCCATTCCTACTATTTTTGAGTTTTTTCACCATGGAAATTGATATAGAAGAATCTTTGTCAGAACTGTCAGGGATAGAAGATTTTGAAAACGTTAATACGAGCCAACCAGGTGGCCACAATACAAATAAGACAACATCAAAACGAAAGCGAAAATGTGCACCACTTTTCATGGACAGCTGGTTGTAAATTGAAGAGTTCAGAAACTGGCTAGTTAGGAAAGTTGGAAGCGACAAAAAGGTGAAACCATACTGCGGAAATTTGTAAAAAATTCCTAACGTGCTCAAAAACCGGCATAAAACGGCACTCTTTAAGCAAAAAGCATCAAGAAAATGCCAAGACGACTACCACATCAGGATCTGTCCTCCAAATGTTAACGCAAGCAACAAGTGCTGATGCTACAATGTCTATGGAAATAAAACTATGTGCATTTATCGTACAACACAATTTGCCTCTTTCACTGTCTGATGACTTGATCAAAGTTCTTCGCTCTCTATTCCCTAATGATTCCGCTTTAAAAAAAGTGACGCTTGGCAAGCAAAAGGCAACAAACATCGTCCGTCAGGTGCTGGGTTTTGACTACCTCGGGGAAATGGTGTCCTTGCTGCGGGCGCGAAAATTTGGATAATAATTGACGAAGCCACAGATCAAAGTACCAAAAAACAACTTGCAATTGTTGCCTGTTTCTTCGATGTAGCCAAATTTGAAATGCAATACTGGTTGGTGGATATGATTGAGACAGAAGATGGTACCGCACTGGGTATCTACTCAAAGATCAAAGAGACGTTCAACGGACTTAACACCCCAATGGACAACATAATTGGATACTCGTCTGATACAACCAACGTGATGTTCGGACAGTACAATTCTGTCTCTCAATTGTTAAAGTCTGAATTCCCACGTACAGATTATAAATGTTCATGTCATCTAATTCATTTGTGTCTTCCCAGGC